CGGAACTCGTACTGTGAGTTAAAAAATATTCCAAATATTCCAGATATAGGCACCAAATTTGAATTTATGAATATAATCTGGCTTATTCACAGAAAATCATTCAAACAATTACCTTCGAAACAGTTTCCGAAAAATGCTCACGCAGCATGTACAACACAGAGCTTCCAAAATCACGCACGCGAACATAACTGAATTTTTTCGTTTCTTTGGATATTTCAGCTTTGCTGCAAATTTCACACTGTTAAAGAAAAAAACTATATTATTTACTGTGATGAAATCTCACAAAATATTTCGAGTTCATAAACTTTTTTATAAATTCTATGATGGATTTCAAACAAAAGATGCAGATATGCCAGATCCTGCATCCTGAGAACCCTGCTCAGCTGATACCTGTCAGCTCTATTCACCTGCCCAAAATCTTTGGAAGTCATCCAAAATGCTGCAGAACTGTTTGCCACATTTTACTAATTTCTAAGCGATAAATTACCCGTTCCCAGTTGATTTCTGATCATTTTTCTTCGCGGAATTCTCCGATTTCGGTTTCTTTTCTACAGGTGCTCGTGTATTGCTACTAGCCGATTCATTATTCATTCGTTCCTGTTCATTTATACTCTAAAATTGCATATAAATTAAAACAGGGCTGAAGGAGGCATCAAAAGTATTGAGTTTAGCCTTTCTGGAAAAAATACTTCAATTCTAAGCGCTTCACTAAATTTCGTTTTTATTTTTTATCTCCTCCTTTATATTTCCTCTTTTCCACCACGTAAACTGGATTTAGCTCCCTTAATTTCTGGTAATTATTCTCGCGGGAGCGGTTTTACACACTCTACTAGACCGCTTCTCCTGGTATAATAAGGGGGCCAAAAAAATCTTGCCCAAAAAATTCCAAAAAGCCAGCCAAAAATTAAAAAGAGGCCGGAAATTTCTGTCATAAAGACGCGCAGTTATATTGAAAAAATAACGAAAAAAACCCAAGAACATTAAGGACCAATTACAGCGCGTTCGATAAAAAAATTTTCAAAAAAAATGATGAGCAAGGGGGAAAAAAAACA